AGCATATCTTGCAGACCAAAATCTAATATTTCTTTAAATTTCGTTTTGAAAATATATAACGCTTTTTCTTGCGTTGTAATTTAATCAAATGACCTCCTCGGTATTAAAATACTCAACGATTTCTTGATAGTAAAAAAAATAAAGGTTAGTAATTGAATCTCAAAACGCCTTTTGATTGGTTATTTTGGATATTGAATCTCGAAACTCGAATTTCGAATCTCGAATTTCGAATCTCTTATTTCTAACCTTGAATCTCGAATGAGCCTTCTGGGCTTTCGTAGAAATCCGCGTTGACATAAGTATCAAAAACATGATACTAATACCGGGAAAAGCATGTTATAGCATATGAATGTTCTCGTAAACACTACACTACACGACTTCCTGCAGGGAAGGGAAAAAAAGAGTTAAACAATGTGTATTGGCATAGTATCAGTTCCCGTTGGAACTTTAAAAATGTATAGTGTAAACAATTTTATTGTAATAAATAAGTGTCCTTCTTAAATGTTAACTTTTTACATCTTACTGAACTGCTATGCAACATACACGTTATCTTCACGTCATAGAAATATGACGTTACCTTTCTCCCGTGAGCATATAATAGCGCGGTACAAGTTTCTCTAAAGTTTAGCGTAAATAATATTATGCGATTTTAACAAGTATAATTAAGAAGGAAATTAGAATTAAATAATTTCGGTTTTAAAAAAAAATCTTTGATTTCAAATTCAATTTATATAAAAAGTATTTTATGATATTTTTCAATTTAAAATGCCGTTTCAAACTTTTTAACATCTGAATATAAACTTTGTTTAAGTATTGGGACTTAAATGTGAATCATCAACATACAATGTTTTTGTACAACACGGACATTGTTGGTATTTCAGAGAAAAGTACCAATTTGTTTGAACAAATACGACATTTTTAGCTCTAATTTTTCCGGTGTATCAAAAAACATACATTCTAAAAACGGTTGTTCCTTACTGTTTTTCAAACCATTAATTTCACCACGATAGCTGATCAAAAAGTTTGCAAATTTATTTAATTACTCCCAGAAAATATATCATTTTATTATATAGTCTATTTATATTCCCTATATATTCTATACAATCGCAAACAGTTCGTAACACTACATATTCACCGGATTTTAGATCGTATTCACCGGAGGGGCAATGCGCGTGCAACGGCATTGTGACGTCACAATCAAAACATCAAACAACGTTGTAAACGGCCGCAGCGAGCTACGTATCTGAGCAGGAAAACAATTATTCGAACCTATTTCAGGATTATTTTTTATCATTTGGACGTCTTGCACATAGCGAAACACAGAAAGGAAAACACGGAGGTTACAAACAGTAATATGGAGACTTTTTTAATTTTCAACAATGGAAGATCGCAAATGAAAATGGTGTCGTCATACAGCCTTCACTGTCTTATTCATCAAATCCCGACTATATAATAAAACAATTATGGACTCTTTCGGTGTTGAATATGGTTTGTTATTCACCAGAAAAATATCAATATTGACCTTGGCTTCGCCTCGGTCAATATGAATATTTTTCTGGTGAATAACAAACCATATTCAACACCAAAAGAGTCCATGATTGTATAATATGCTACTGAAAAAGACTAAAGTCTTTCAACTTTATAGCCGTTCTTTTCACACATACAACCTAGTCAGTGAAATTTATGGAGATAAGAACAGATTCAAGCTTACCGAATAGGGCCATTCTTTAAACAATAAGAAATAGGAGCAGATCAATATGGACATCCAAAACATAAGAGTTGGGTACAGGTGCCATGGAAGAGTGAGCATCCCGTGCCGATCGGTCACATCCGCCGTGTGCTATTTGTCGGGGAAAGCAGAAAAATCTGTCGATAATTCAGTGTGCATATAATGGCCTAACAATAAGTATGAAAAAATGTCAGACAGTATTTTACTTTTTGATAAATTTTATTGCTGACCAGGTGACTGTATCGACCATAAAACGTAATAAATGATGACTTTAAACGAGATTCTTGATATTCTTGTTTCGGCAACATGCATGTGTACAATAACTTACCTGGATTTAAAATTTGTCCATACGTAGAGCATGCTCTTTTGTATTGAATCAGCTGTGAGCTGTAAATCTCATATGCAAGTGATGAATGTATATTGCTGCATCAGTAAGGGAATCTGACGATTGAAAAGTTAAAGTCATCTAGTTTGTCATAAAGCTAGATCACCATTAACGTCTTTTTCAGGTAAAACATCTAAATATGAAACAGATGTGTCAGACTCTGTAACAATCTTTTAATTCAAACTTACTGGGATATAAAGATATGAATTTATTTTAGGTTAACTTAATGTTGGATAAAAATGGTTGGTGTTCCTGTTAATCGAACCTGGTTGCTTTGTGTGCGGGGTGGCGGGTGCATTGATTCGGCTATCCACTTTACGTATTGCGTTGGTAATTTCTTTTTATATCAATTGTGTGCTTTATTAATTTAAATCTCTTTTGCAGGCGGTGATTCATTCTAAGGGTATTCAAACTTTTTGTCATTCGACAAGTTCGTCCAGACGTATCAGTTTTCCAAAATTTTAATTTCATTTAATGAAGCAGAATTCTTTTGTAGATTGTTGCTTAGGTTCTTTGAAATCGATCTGATTCCTAGCTTGAGGTTGAATAGCATTATGGTTGGACCAGTCCTGGTGCTGCCTATGTGTTCTGTCCTCCAGTTGTCCAGCCCAGGCTGTATCGGCGCGCCAAAGGACTCGATTATTTTTGTAGAAATCTGTTTTATCAAATCGGGCTTACATTGTCGCCTCCTCTATATTTGTGTTTGAGTTTTTTTTATGTAAAATGAATAAGAAATAATTTATGGTCGTCTGAGCGAAGTGAAAGAGAACATCAAGTTCGCAAACTTTTTGATCACCCCGCGTATTGTCCATAACTTCATAAAATTACATAGTAAAACTTTTTATTTAGTGTATATACAATCGGAATCAAAGTATTTATCTGATGTTTGAAAACAATAAAGTCCTGGCAACAGTCATTGTCTTTGAGAAAAGGTACATGTGAACAAAGGGCTTGATACAAAACTACTAACTTTTATCTCTAGCGGCTGGAATAATTTAAAAATTAGCACCTCAATCAATTTCAGGAAAATTGATTATTCTTAAAGTTTTATGAAAATTAAAAACTTACAAACTTTTTCGTCCGCTCCCATGGTGCATCCGTATATTGAATTACACTCATTCTGGATGCATCTACAGTCTAACTGACATTTTTTGCCATAATTCGGGTATACACAGGGGACAGAGCAGTTGATCCCTTGGAAACCGTCGCCGCACTCTAAAACAGCATAAGATAAATAAGACCAATGTACACTTAACAAAACTTCCAAGTGTTCACTTTGATTAATGTATTTATTAAAAAACTACTTTATAGAATTGGTTGATATTTGTTTTTCAAATTATAACAACAAATGAGTCTTCTCAGCAAGTGTAGAAAGAAAATCAAATATCACCGATGAAACCAGTGTAGCGTGACGAAGCTTAAAAACAATAAACATGTACTTTTCGGCATGTGCTTTGTTTACTAAAGCATTTTTTTGTGATCGTTATCAAATTTTAAAAACTGGTTTCACTAAAAAGCACAAAACATTGGCAAAATGACCATTGCGATAGAAGGGAGAGCCGTTGGAATGTTGATATCTGGACCATCCTTGCACCATGTTTTACTCACTCTTATTTTAGTGTTTAATTGTCCTTGAAATTACTCTTAAAAATTAACAACCAATATCAAAACCCATTTAAACACATTTTTCTACAGGCTGTGCGTCATTTTTCACCGCCAATTTTTCACAATTTGAAAGTTTTGGAAAAAAATTAACAAAACCGGAAGTGACTTTGATTTTCGTCTAAGACCAAACTTTCGCGACACACCAGGTTAAAAGAGTATTAAATTTTCCTGAAACAATCTTAAAAACATGAAAACAAACAATATCAATCGTATGAAAATGATTAGAAGTCGGTGCTAGTGACAGTCTAATATCAGCTCAAGCAGTCTGAATCATCCCTAAAGCGCTACACTTACGTGCTATACACCCTAGGATATTGACCAAAAGGCATATGTGCGATGATACACTGTCAATTCCCGGATCTGAATCTCATTGAAAACATTTTGGATTTTTATAAGGAATGTCAAAGCATCCCCCCTCCACACAATTTCAACGATTTGGAAATATCTATGCAGTAGGTGTGGCAGCAGATGGGTCAATCTCCTATTCAGGGGTACATGGTTTCCAAAAAAGATTGTCTTGTAGTAATTGGAGCGAGTAGTGGTCATACTCCATAGAAATTTTTGGTGTTAATTTTCATTTTGAGGGTACATCATTTCCTTGACACTTTGCTTAAAATTCTGACGAGATACTTACATGAAATTTACGCAACATCGAACTTAAATATGCATCATTAACTATCAATTAAAGATATTAGTTATTGTATGCATTTGTTCTTTAAACATTTTAAAAATGTTATGTGAACACTTAGAAGTTTGGTTCAGTGTATATCATTTAGATTTATATTAGAGGAAATTTTTATCTGTTTACTCTATTTATATTGATTAAATTTTCTTACCCACACAGTATCCTAGTGTTTCGTTCCAAATAAAATCATAGCAGCAAAGGAGATGTGAATGGCTAAAATCGATATACAAATAAACAAATATAATTTAATCTAATAATTTTAAAAGTTGTTTATTATATTTGTTAGAAGAGAACGTACTTACAATGGGCAAAACGTATAAGCAATTTTGCAGAATACCGCCATGAAAATATATGAAGCCTCCATTTTGCACACACATGTGTTAAGTAAAGCAGAGGAATTCTGTTTCATAGTTTTCATTATAACCTAAATTTGTCGATTTTAGAACTTCCACTTTAGATCCAGTGCTCTAATATTTTTCCTCATTAATTTACAATCACCAGACTATAAGGAACTAAATACAAGGATAATCAAAGTAATGGCTCTGTACCGTGCAGGTCAGTCTCTTTTGTTAAATATTTTTCTGTAACAATTCAACATAAAACAAGGTTTATACTTTCATTCATAAAGATTGATTGATTGGTTTATGTCCCGTTTGAGATTGTTTTGCTCATATAGAAACGTTACTATATACAGATGACGGTTTTTTCTTGCCATTCAAAGCCATTAAGAGGTGAGGGTACTATCACATGCCAACACCTACGATTCCCCGGGGGCAAAATCTATAAGATCTCATCCTTAAAAAAATATAAAGTGCCGAGCGCTTAGGGAAGAAACAGTTGCTACATATATATTATCGACTTAGGTTATTCAAGAATTGATTCGAACACATGACTTTCCAATCACAGAGAGAGCGCTCTACTACATTTATAAAGAACTGTGAACGACAACTACCGATTCCCTTCTTTATTTGACACACTCAACAGTATTATGGTTATTGGTATTAAAATTTGTGTAAATGTAAAGCTTACGTCATTCGTAATTAGATACTTAGTAATAGATCCGATACCAGGATAATGTCTATTTGGATTTAGTTGAGATGAGTCTTACGACTTTGCAATTGAATGACATCCTCTTTCATTTCTTTCTCAAGAAATTCAAAAATGATAACACCCAAAGAGAATTTTTCCAACAGATTTGCGTCACAATGGGTACGAATTATGCCTCTTTCTAGCAGACCTATTTTTTGTATTCATATCAAGCAGAATTTGTGCGAAATCTCATGCCTGTAAAAAAAACCGTGGCCTTCAACTCGATATATTTAGATACACCGACGACGTTTTGTTAATAATATTATGTCGATACGATATATCCTGGTGAGCTTGAGATAAAATATACCACTGAGTCTGACACAGCTGTTTCATATTTGAATGTTTTACTTGAAAAGACGTTAATGGTAATCTAACAACCAAGTTCTATGATAAACGTGATGACTTTAACTATTCTATCGACAACTTCCTTTATGTAGCAATATACCTGCATAACCTGCATATGGATTACTGAATCTCAGTTGATTCGATACGCAAGAGCGTGTTCTACGTATGAACGATTTCTAAAACGAGGTTAATTATGGACAAACAAGTTGCGGAAACAATAATATCAGCAGTCTCGTTTAAAGTAATAATTTCGTAAGTTCTATGGTCGATACAATGACCTAGTCACTGTCAGTAAATACAATTTATCATTGAGTCAAATGCTAACTGACGTTTTTCATACTACTAGTAATTGTTAGTCCATTATTTATGTACTGAATTGACGACGGATTTTTTCGTTATTTCCCGATCATGACAAGGAGCACACAGCGGGTGTGACCGGTCGACAAAGGATGCTCATTCCTCCACAGCACCTGATCCTACCTCTGATGTTTTAGAGGTCCGTGTTTGCCCCTATTTTGTATTGTTTTAAAGACATTTGATCTTGAATACTCTTCATTATCTCCATACATTTTAATCAAAAGGTACATCTATCCTTTTCCTCATGAGAGTAGTCAAATTTGTTTATGATTTATGGGAGAATAATGGCCGAATCACCTCTTAACAATTAATGTAGTAGAATAATTCGATTAGTACACACAACTTCCTTTGTCTGTCTGTATTCTAGTATACCATATGGTTGAAGATACCAGCGTCAAAATAATACTATTTAACAAAATACATACATATAAATCCTATTGCATGTTATATTTTTTTAAGTAATGTACTGTATTCTTATTTTTGTAGATTAGACGGTGCTTTTGGTAAAGTATATACATTGTACATGTATACCATCTCTGATTTGTTTCCTTTTTTATTTTTTATCTGCTGAAGCGTAGTATATATACATGTATATGCTACCCGACTATCATTACCATTTCAAAAGGCGGTTCAAAAGGAGGATTTAAGGGCAATTTTCTATTTTACAAAGAAATTTTAAAAAGCTCTGCAAATTCACCATCCCTTCTAGAACCGTTCGTATTAATATTCCCCTTAGCGGTTCTTTTAATCTTCGGCGTGTCAAAATATTTAAAGAACTGGTGCGTTAGAATGTGGATGAGTAATTTAATCTAGGGTAAAGCAGGTAAAGATGGTGGTTGGTATACAATTCGAAGCTTAAGTTGAAATTGATCTAAGGTAAAGCCAAGTGGTGATATATGTTTTGTTAATGCATGGATCAAGAATACTGTTTTGGCTTGTGATCCAGTTTATTTTTACTATTGTTGTTTATTTTTATTTGATTTGTATTCAAAAGTAAAAAAATGTAAAGTATTCGTTGGAAAATATTTTCGTTAAAACCTTTTATATTTTTGGGAGAATAAAATGTATGCGTCAAATGTATTCAACTTATATCTTTTTTTCACAGAAACCAGCTCAGTAAACATGATTATGAGAATCATATGCTGCATGATTTTAGTAATAGATATAGAAGAGGTAAATTAAAATATTATCCACAAAATGATCAAATAAAAAAAAGAAAAGAAAAATAAGCTTGCTTATTTTATCATTTGTAGCCAAAATGCATCTTATGCATATTTTACATGATTTACCAATAGTTTGATAAGAAACACTTTCTATTGCTTTCGGAAGTTCAGTTTTTTCATTTACTTTTTATTTCATTAAATGAAGACCTGATCTTATTATCGATTTTAGGGTCTAGCTGAAAAGATTTGTTCAAAAGGTACCGATAAAACAGTGAAATTCTGCCCCCAAAATGAAAGAATGTGGATAAAGGCCAGTAAGAGGAAAAACTGCACACAGTTCATGACAAAAGACTGTGTTGATCTACAGTATCACTGCGTGCTAAATGCTTATGGGAATGGAACGGTCGAGGTGTGTGCTAAGCTGACATACCTACAAGGTAAAGCTCTAGTACTTTCAAAATACAAGAAACAATAACTGTGTATTTAAGAGTTGTTATATCAGGTAAAAATATTAAAAAATCTTTTAACAACAACACTTATATTTCTTTACTTTTTAATGTTGTTTGAGCATCATTCCTTGTGACTGATTAAATAAGTTAAACATGAAAACGTCTTTTTGGGAGAATATAAAATGAAATAATGATAATTTTCAAGTTTTTTTTAGAACGTTTAGGTTTTATCTATAGTTGTATGTGTTTCATTGTCAAAATTACTTCAAAGTTCACCTGATTTTAATTAGGTCTCTTTATCAGTTTATAGTCACGGGTCTTTAGTCATCTCTGGATTTTCATTCATCCATGGCACTTGATCAAATCTCTGTTGTTTTAGAGTTCTGTGTTTGCTTTGCTTTAAAATTTGCATTGTTTAATGAAATTTTGACCTTGAACACTATTCGTTATCTCCATATTTTTCATTTATTTCGTGGTAGTCAATGTTGTTGGGTAAAATTATGTTCGTTCATGTGGACGGTATTTAGTTGGTTATTCGTACAATCAATGAATAAACATAGGGACAAAATTATTGTTCGTGAAGATTTAAATTAGTTGATAAGAGTGACCCAATTCATACACTAATATTGATCCCCCACGTTCAATGATGGTTCCACAGTAATTGACAACTTACATTTATAATTGTTTAATATTCAGTAGAAGAGGTTTTGTTTTGATTTCAAAAATCTCAGAATTCTTTGTCATATATCTTTTCATCGATCAGTGCATACCACATATTTAAATTAAATGTAGAATCAAAAAAGTATTTTCAATACACTTCTTTTGGCACTAAGGTACACTTCTCTAATAAATTCGCATTTTTCAACTACACCCTGTTATCTAATTGTTCTTTTTTTATTTATGTTAAATGTTACGTAAGTTATCATAATTGTTAGAATGAGTAGATTTAACTACATTTTGGCAATATATTTCAACGCAAAGTAACCTTTCCCCATTATCTGTGTACTTTTCCTCAAAACAGTCCTGAGGTCAACTGACCAGAAATACTGTTTAACTTTGACATTTAAACTATTAAATATTGGCAGACATGATTCCTTTAGATCACATGAAAAATAAAATCATGTTCTTTTCCTTTTTATAGGATTTTGTGCAGAATATAATACATTAACAAATTCAATACAAAACTATTATCTTTTGCCGTGTATGAACTTCACTAATGGTAGATGTCCGAGCAGATATAAATCGACAGAAGCATACAAATGTAAGCATTGCAGTTTCTATGTAGAAGAATGTAATATTGGGTTATGTACTTAGTATATTGTACTGACTAAGACGTTGTGTTCAAGCTGTTTTTGGTAATTTATTGCAGTTAAACATGTTAAACCTAAAATAATTTGATAAATCATTAAAAAATATATATTGATCTAAATCCAGTTTTCGTAAACTAACTTACTTTGATAACTTTGACACAGTAATATTACAATTTTGAATTTGCTCGCAAGGGTGTGTGACCTTATGTTTCATACATATTTTTAGATCAAGAGTGCTTTAAGTTTTTAAAAAGACCAAATTTAAATTCGAACAGGTAAGATCGCATGATATTTTTTGCTCTATACAGCACTCTTTTAATATTCTATTACATTTTTGCATGTTTTTTTTCTTTTTAAGAACTAGTAAACATTATCATCTCTCACATGGACAAGGGTAAGTATCAGAATATAAACTTTTTAATTAAAACATAAAAATCGCGTAGACCTTATGATAGCTGCAGAACTGTAGCTCTCCGAAAAAAAATGTATTGAGAGACCGGAGAGCTACAGTGGCACCCAATAAAAGAACTGTATATTTATTGCGCACAAAAAAGTGCGCTCGGTTCATGATTAATTCTTCCATATTCTTACCTCAATTGCAAAAAAGCTAGATTTCACAAAAATACTTAATCCCTTATCAAGTACACTCGTAGTTTACATCAGTATGAAGCGCCTTAGACGGAATTATCTTGCAAACTAAAATGGCAGTATAAATAAGCGAAATTTTCGATGATCTCAATGTCAGGGCCAGGAGGGCTATTATAAACAATTATAAGGAATGATTTGTTGTAGAAACAGTGAAAGAATGTGTTAGGAACACACGGTGAATGATATTTTGAGATGATCATTTTAAAAACATGGAGAAATAAATCGAGAAACAGCGTACTTTTCGTGCGCAATAAATACACAGCTTTTTTCAACATGGGTGGCAGTGTAGCTCTCCGGTCTGTCCCAAAAAAAAAAAATTCGGAGAGCTACAGTTCTGCAGCTAACCTTATGAGTAACAATTAAGTTGCTCATTCGTCCAAATATTTGTTTAAGCAATTTAAATAAATGAGTTGCTTTTAAGATTTGTACAAAAAGATATTTCAGTCAAATTAATTGAATATATAAATTGTAAATTAAATACAGTGTAGCGATTATAATATTTTGCCAATAAGCGATATGAAATATATTGAACATTGGACATTTGGGCATTTAAATAGTCCCAATTTTTAAACAGAGATGTACTTCGCCATAAAACGAATAACGATTTTAAGATACTGCAATCATTTTATTTGAGTTGAGTTTTGTTTTTTCGATAGATCGATAGATACAGCCATGATTATTATACTAATTGTCCTTTCGCTGTGCGTTTCTGTCTGCTTCATGATATACCTAGTAAATTACTATCATCGATCAATCAACGAAGGTATGAAATGTTCTTGATATAGTTTTTAAATGACATTCAAAAAATCATTGCAACACGAAGATTGCTTCTGCATCCTCGCAATGCCAGTGGTCTGGAGTCAACACTATCGTTGGACCCCTGGCAAATTTCATCAGGTATTCTAGGGCTTGCCTCTCTGATTGAGAAGCATTAATAAAATGAAAACTTTCATAAACAGGTGGATAATGTAACAGAAAGGATTAAGTTGACACCTCAAATGCACCTGTTAATTGAATGGCTGGAGAGATCAGAAAAACAGACAAAAATTGAAATTTTTCAGAAATATGTCGCGACAGTCAGCCCACGGACTATATGAAAGGGTTCGGTGTAACGATGAAAAGTAACCCCCGTAGAAGGGTGACCAGGGGGTCAATTTTCTACGTAGAAAAAGGACCCAGGGTCAATATTCTACGGCAAGTAGGGTTATTATTCGACCGTAGAAAATCATTCAAGACCAGTAATTCTACGTAAATACACACGTTGAAAAATTAACCCCCATAGAAATTTGAATCCCCTACTTATTTTTATACAATAAACCTCTTATTGCATCTTACCCAAGCGTTTAAGCACTCAAAAATGAAAGTTTGGGGGTCCTTTGGATGAGATGTCGAGTGAAAATCTAAACAAAGTACCATTAAATATATATTTATGAATCAAAGAAAAACGTCCACACCCCTACTAATGTTATTGTCATTTAAATTCAAGACACGTGGTTAAGGTTTACCTATTCAAAGGTTATAGGGTAGAACCGGTTTTAAAAATTAAATTGGCAGTAAACAGGAAATTGCTATAGTCTGTATCTTTTGAAAATATGTCCTGTGAAAAAATTGTCCAGACCATTCTGAAAGACTTTCATGATTTTCAACAGAAATGGGTGGCTTAAGGGGGTGGGGTGGGTGGGTGTGTGGGGGGGGGGGGGTAAATCAACAATTAATACTGTATTCAGTATTATAGGTGGGAGTCTGTGGGTTTGGTGTGGAGACTGTATTCGATTTCACCATCAATCAGGGTAGATGTAGTGTCTAGTAATACGTTTTTAGAATTAGATACGTCTACTGTAAATTTGATAGACTGATGAAAGGTGTTGGCAAACGTAATGAATGCCTCGAGACTCTCGCGACATTCCACCCACTTCATCTCTATATCGTCAATGAAACACAACCAGCTATGGGACCTAAATGGTGCTTGAAGTAACAAGTTGCGTTCCAGTCTGCCCATGAAGACATTGGCATAAGACGGTGCCATTTTCGTACCCATAGCAGTGCCATTAACCTGCATCAAAACGAATGTTTCAGCATAAAAAATGACAAGTGGTCATTATTCATTATTCTACGGGGTCATCTTTTCCACTATGTACAAGGAGAAAACGACCCCGAGGACATAATTTCTATAAAAAAAATGGGTCATTTTTCTCTGTAGAATATTGAACTGGGGTCAAATTTCTACGGAAACGTGTTGGTTCAGGATCTCTGG